ATATATATATATATAAGATAATATAATATAATTGATTTTGCACTATATTTTACCATTTGGTTGGTTTTAATTCCAACCACGGTTATGAATTTCAAAGAGGATTATCTAAAATAAGACAATTATATGAGACAAACTCCATTATTCGACACAAAGACATCCAATCCACATTTCTTATACATTTTATTTTGTTCAAATATTTCAACTATTCACCAATGTGAGACAATTAAAATTCAACCACAATCCACTATCTGAGAGTACTCAATTCTCATGATATTACTTCAATACCCCAATGTTTTCCTTTCATGTTTGAGGAACACTCAAACCTCATGTTACACAATCATCATATTTGGTTTCACTTTAATATTTGCATTATAATTTTTACCCATTGGTTGGTTTTGGTTCCAACCATGGTCATAGATTTCAAAGAGAGTCATTCAAAATAAAACATCCCATGAATTGACAGAAAGACACTAATCCACCTTTTTATACATTTCACTTTGTTCAAACTTTTCAACTTTTCACCAATGAGAGACAAATAAAACCCAAGCACAATTCACCGCTTGAATATGCTAACTTTTCATGGCGCCACCTCAATACCCCAAGGTTTTACACACACACACACATACACACATACATACATACATACATACATACATACATACACACATACACACATACATACATACATACATACATACATACATACATACATACATACATACATACATACATACATACATACATACATACATACATACATACATACATATATATAGGGGCACGTTCAAATGAAAACCGTGCATTTTTAAGAAACCGTGTAAACTAATTTCGACCAATAAGAAAATTCCATTTTTTTAAATTAAATTTAATCAATAAGGGTATTTTGATCATTTATAATATTTTCTATTAAATATGGAAATTATTAATAAATCTTAATTAAGAAAACGTAATTAAGAAAATTTTATAAATGGTAACATTTAAATATTTAATTATATTTTAATATTTAAAATTTGAACTAAATATATTGTGATCCAATTAAATCTGCTAGTGAATCTTGAAGATTGTAAGCCATAATGTAATGAATTCATCAAATCATAGGTGGACAAAAAAAATTAATACAAATGAAACAAGTTTCATGAAGGTGAAACTGGTTCATATCGCAAATAAAAAATGAGTAGTGAAACATTTTCATGGTGAAGTCGTTGCATTGATGGTGTAGTTGATCCATTTAGTAGGTGAAGTGGAAAATAAAACGGTGCATAATGTATTTGGTTCGTCATGAAATAATTGCATGATGAAACGGGTACATGATGAATCTGCTCCAAAATCTTGAAGATTGTAATATGCTCCAGAATCTTGAAGATTGTAAGGCTTAAATAAATGAATTCATCAAATCAGGGGTGATATAAGAAAATTAATGTACATGAAATAGGTTTCATGAAGGTGAAACTGGTTCATGGCGTTATTGAACATGAGTAGTGAAATGGGTGCATAATGTATTTGGTTCGTCATGAAATAATACATGATGAAACGGGTACATGAATAAACTGCTCCAGAATCTTGAAGATTGTAATATGCTCCAAAATCTTGAAGATTGTAATATGCTTCAGAATCTTTATGATTGCAAGGCTTAAATGAATGAATTCACCAAATCAAGAGCGAAATAAATAAATTAATTTACATGAAACAGGTTTCATGAAACTGAAACTGAAACTGGTTCATGGCGTAATTGAACAATGAGTAGTGAACTGGTTTGATGGTAAATCTCGTTTCAGTGACGTTGAAATGTAAAATAAAACGGGTAAATAATGTATACGGTTCGTCATGAAATAATTACATGCTGAAACGGATTTATTATGAAACCGGTGCGTCTTGAAATCATTTCATAATAAATATGGTGCATATTTACATGGTTGTGTGAAGGACATTGAAACAATTTCAGGATAAGGAATAAAAAGGACATTAGCGAAAAATGAATAAAGTTCATTATCAATATCATGAAATAACAAATGATGCATCAAACCATGATTAAAATTTCATGTTTTATCATAAAATTCTATGAACGCAGTAAACAGTTAAGACAATGAAACTATTTCAAGTTGTATTATAAAATTTTATGAACTCAGTAAACAATGAAAATTTTTCATTATCTAAATGTAACGGATCCATCTACCAGTATAATGAAAATTACGAAATATGATCAGTATTACGTTGATTAGTTTGTTGATGAAATTTTGAAACCAATTTCGTTCATATAATGTAATTCAAATTTTGAAACGATTCATTATATAGAATTGAATATGGTGTGTTTTATTTATTTTTTTTGATATATTTTATTGATGGATGTTATTTAAACGTAAAAATAATATATTGTTTTACAAAATAAAATAGTTTCATTTATAATATGACATAAAAGATATTGTTGCCTTGAATATAATGTATTTTTGTTTACCATTTTGCCCTTATTATTGATATAAAATAAATTTTTAATAGTTTTTTTTTTAATTTTATAGAATAAAGTAAACTAATCTTGACCATTGATCAAGAAAATGGATGGATGAGATTGATTTACACGGTTTACACAAATGGAGGCAGTTTTCATTTGAACGCTCATATATATATATATATATTAATTTTGCACTATAATCTTAACCATTTGGTTGGTTTTGATTCCAACTATAGTTATAGATTTCAAAGTGGGTCGTCCAAAATAAGACACCCCTATGAGGCAAACCCCATGATTTGACACAAAGACATCCAATCCAATTTTCTTATACATTTCATTTTGTTCAAATCTTGTAGCTTTTCACCAATGTGAGACAACTAAAACTCAACCATAATCCATCATTTGAGAATATTCAATTCTTATGGTGCCACCTCAATACTCCAAAGTTTTCCATATATGTATATATGTATATGAGAGCGATCAAATGAAAACCACTCAATTTGTAAAAACTGTAAAAACCTCATTCAACCAATCATAATTTTTCATTTTGTTCATTTTTTTGTAATCATGAGAGGTTGATTAATCATTTTTATTGTGAAGGGTGTTAATCATGAATATTATCATCTTCATTATTTTAATTTTAGAGAAATACATGAAACAGTTTCATTAAAATTTCATTAAGTAGTATATGAAACAACTTCATCAAAAAAAGTATTATATGAAACAATTTCACAAGATTAAACAATTTCATGAAAAAATTTCATAAGATTAAATAATGAAATCGACGGATGAGGGTGGTTTTTACGGTTTTTACAAATTGAAGTGGTTTTTATTTGATCGCTTATATATATATATATATATATATATATATAAAGATTATTTGTGTTAATATGATAAGTGTGGTAAATGAAAAAGTAATGGATATAAATTAAATCATTAATTATAAGGATATTAATTGTAATTTTAAAATGGAAGAGAGTCAAGGTTATCAGGTTAAGGTGCTTCGGAACAAGGTGGATGAAAATGATTTAGTATTAACCGAAAAATAAACAATTTAAAAAGACTCAGATTTAATATCAAAACTAATTTAAACGGCTCAGATTTAAAAGACGGTTTTTGACTCACTATGGTCAATATCATATATAATCATCATTGTTATCTTTTACTTTTCGTGTACAGTTTTATAACTATGAATCAGATATATCAAAATGTACAAATAAAAACAGTTATACGACAACCACATAAAAATTAAATTGTTAGAGAAAATATCCAAACAAACCAAACCTAGCTTACATATTATAGACTTCTTGGAGAAATTTCAAACGCACAAAAACTTAAACATATACTTCTTTTGCCTTCTAACACGTTGGGTGGGTCTGAATGATTGATACATGATAAATGTCCTTTTTTGGTCAAAGTTATCGTCTTAATTTGATCGGTCTATATACAATTAGTCGTTACGTGACTAGGGCAACCTCAAGTCTGAAGCTTAATAGAAAAATTAAAACCATCAAAATTCAAACATAATATCTAGATAGAATTCTATATATTATATTATAAAACATTTGACAAAAACTTTTAAAAACTATTTTTTATGCATAAAATACTGTTTATTGATGCATATTACTTAAAATTCAAGATCACAAGTAAATTGTGCGTAAGTACAACTTATTAAAACTTTATTTTTTAATTTGTGTAACTAACTATAGATAAACATAATCAAATACGGGATAAACATCTCATATTGAATATAGAAAACACTATAACAAAATTGGGTTTATAGGACACCACTAATCTCTAAGTGTCCCAATAGACTGCTTTATAGGACTTAATTTATAGGATCAAAATATAAAGCGTCATCTATAAGTGTTGAAATATGTTTATATGACGCTTTTGGGAGTCTTAACAAGTTTTTTAGAAATTTTTTAAGACAAAGTGTCGTATTAGCAACTTTATAGGACACTTTTGAGAAAATGTCTTATAAACTCAATTTTTTATAGGACAGTTTTTTAAATAGTGTCATATAAAGTTGTTAATGGGACACTTTTATATTAAAAGTGTCCTAAAAATTTATTACGACGTCAAAAAACGTCATATAAACTTATTACAACACCTTTAGATAAGACGTTTTACTTTTTTGGTCCTATAAACTAAGTCTTATAAAAAAATCTATTAGGACGTTTAGAAATTGAGAATGTCCTGTAAACCCGATTTTGTTGTAGTGAAATAAATAAAAAACGGTTTTATTGTGTTTAATCATGATTATGAAAATGGATTAATTGAAATCGTCATCATCTTCACGTGTTCTCTATTCGTCCCGTCAAAAGTGTTCATTGATTTTGACACAAAACTTGAATACGTCAACCCAAGATTGAAGCTTAAAAGCAAAAAAAATGGAGCTCTCAAAATTCAAATATAACATACAAACGGAAGTGAAAATGGATTATTTGAAATCATCATCTTCCCAGTTTCTTGTTGCAGTCAGCTTTCTTTTCTTCTTCTTTATTGGTAATAAATTCCTCTTAATTACTTTGAAAACACACGACATTTATTGAAAGATTTTGTAATAAATGCAATTTCCTCCACGTTTGCAGGAGCTTCAGGGGCTACTTTTAATGTCGTCAATGATTGTGGCTTCACTGTTTGGCCTCGAATCTTGAGCAGAACTAATGCTTCCATTATCACCGGATTCGAGCTCACAAACGGTACATCGCGCTCCTTTCAAGCTCCGGCTAACTGGAGGGGGACCATCTGGGGTCGAACCGGTTGCACCTTTGATGGGTCAGGTCGTGTGTCATGCGCCACCGGTGACTGCGATGAAATGGACTGCAATCGAAAAACCACAACCTCACCGGCCACGCTTGCGGAGTTCAACATCAGTCAAAACCAGGGTCTGGACTCTTATGATGTCACCATTGGCAACGGCTACAACTTACAGATGGTTGTGGAACCGACGGGTGGGTCAGGTAGTTGTGCGAAGACGGGTTGTGTTGATGACTTGACCCGTAGGTGCCCCGCGGAACTGACGGTGGAGGGCGGTGGAGGGTGTAAGAGTGCTTGTCAGGCCTTCGGCTCTCCCGAGGATTGTTGTGCCAGCTCGTTGACTTGCAAGCCGACTGCATACGCTCAGTTGTTCAAATCAGCATGCCCAAGGTCCTACGCCACTGCGTTCGATGATCGTAGTAGTATATTTACGTGTAAAGATGCCAATTACACCGTTAGATTTTGTCCCCGTGCCGATGCATTTTCAACCATCAAACTCGGCGGCCAACTCCGATCCACCGATCAACTTGTTTCCGTGCGTGGAAATTTCACGTTGGGTTTCTTTGATGCAGACTACAGGTACTTGGGAATTTGGTACACCAACGATGCTCGAACCAGAAAAATATGGGTAGCCAACCGTAACGCGCCCATCATGTCCACCTTTGGCACTCATGCCCTCTCCATCGACCGAAACACCGGGAACATGGTTGTAACCGATGAATCAGGGACTACTCTGATGAGTATTACTGATGTTCATGCAGGTCCAAACCCGAACCTGACCGCGACCCTCGATGATGACGGTAACTTGTTGCTGGTTAACGAAATCTATAAGAGGGTTTTGTGGCAGAGTTCTAGTTTAGATAATTCGATTCATCAAAAGAAAGGTAAGAATATTAGATTTCTGTGTGGTCCTTGCTATCAATTTTATAGGATGTTGTGTATTAAAAAATGGGTTTACAGGACACTTTTAAAAAATAGCAACATTTTATGTGAAAAGATCCTAATAAACTTGTTACCACGACCAAAACCGTCGTATAAGTTCATTGTGATACTTGTGTCTAACAAAGTCATTATGCAGGAAATAGAAAAAAAGAAATCTTTAACTGGATTTGGAAAGTCATTGCTGTCGTCATTCCTCTGGTGTTGTTCTGTTTGTGGATCAGATGTAACTTGAAGAATAAAAAGCTTAGGCAAGAAGGTACATAAAACATAAATATGAATATATATGAATATTATTCATTATAAATGATATTCATTATGAATAATTGTTTGCCACTTTCTCAAAATATTTACTGACCGTTAAGACTTGAGGTTTGACCTCATGCTACTTAAAACATTTCATATTGTTGCTTATTTCGTTAAGTCATTCTCGATACTTATTGTAGAAGAAACGAGACGAAAGAGAGATGAATGTTTCCTTGAGCTGACCGCTTCTAAGAGTTTCAAGGATATTTATCAGCTCGAAAGCAATGATGGGAAAGGAAGTGATTTGTTATTGTTTAGCCTTGCCTCGATCATGGCCGCCACGAGTGATTTTTCAACTGAATATAAGCTCGGAGAAGGTGGTTTTGGACCTGTTTACAAGGTAACATGCTACTTTCATGTTTCTCTAATCAGACTGTTAGAGTCGCACATCGGCTAAATTTGGACCATTTGTCATCAATACTCAATATGACAACATACGTTGGAACTTCAACGACTCTTTTGGAGATTAATCTGTTGGTTCCACGTATTCTCACATTGACAAAGATATTCATGAAATTTGAAAAACAGGGAAATCTAAGCAATGGACAAGAGATTGCAGTCAAAAGGCTTTCGAGAACATCAGGACAAGGGCTTGTGGAATTCAAGAACGAACTCGTACTCTTAGCCCGACTCCAACACACAAATCTTGTCCGGGTTCTTGGTTGTTGTATTCACGGGGAAGAAAAGATGTTAATTTACGAGTACATGCCCAACAAAAGCTTAGATTTCTTTCTCTTCGGTACGCAATGTTTGTAACGTAAGTGTTTTACTTGTTAAATTTTCGTTATAAAAACGACTGATTGTTTTCGTTGTAGATGAAAACAGACGGGCTGAGCTGAATTGGCCCAGACGATTTACCGTCATCGAAGGAATTGCTCAGGGGTTGCTGTACCTACATAAGTACTCAAGAATGCGAGTTATTCATAGAGATCTAAAAGCAAGCAACATTCTATTAGATGAGAGTCTGAATCCCAAGATTTCGGATTTTGGTCTGGCCAAAATATTCGAGCCAAACGAGACCGAAACAACGACTAAGAGGGTGATTGGAACATTGTAAGTTACATATAAAAAATCAGTTGGATTTATATGCCGTCATGGTCATTTTCAGCAGTAATCTAAGTCGATCGTGTTGTGTTCAGTGGTTATATGTCTCCGGAGTATGCAATGAAAGGGACTTTCTCTGTGAAGTCGGACGTCTTCAGCTTTGGAGTCTTGATCCTGGAAATCGTGAGCGGAAGAAACAACGGTAGCTTCATGCATCATGATCGGGAACTCAATCTTATTGAATACGTAAGTCGAGTCGATATCACCTTTTAAGACATTTTACGAATAATACGTGTTTGTTGTAAGTAATTTCGTAACGATTTAGGTATGGGAGCTATGGCAACAAGGGAATGTGTTGGAGCTGAAAGATTCAGCACTAGGAACTACTTGTGTTGTACAACAGTTCTTGAGGACTGTTCATGTGGCACTTCTGTGTGTACAAGAAAGTGCAGCAGATCGACCAACGACTTCAGATGTGATCTCCATGCTTCTGAATAACACCATAACTTTACCACCTCCAAACAGACCACCCTTCTTATCTGATGGAGTCTATTTGAAGTCTGATTCAGACAAAAGCAAAGCCATAGATTGCTCTATAAACAAGCTGACCATCACAGTTATGGATGGCCGATAGCGCATGGGAATGGTTGTTTCTACTTTAAATGTGGCTGACGTAAGCTTAAGACCAAATCAACAATGGCGGATTCATTTTTTCCTCAAGTCCAGAGCTTTCTAGCGATGGCTGAGTGGGGATGTTGCATGGGGACTTCGATCGGAGGCTCTGACTCTCTGTTTATATTTTATGTATGACTACTGAAATATCAACTTACTTTCCTCGTGTAAGAATCTCCGTTCTTGCCTTTGCTCTTATTAGATAAGATTATTGGTTCTAATCATCAGGGCCGGTCCTAAGATTTGTGATACCCTGTGCAAAAATAAAAAAAAATTCCCTTAAGCCTATTTTTTAAGCCAATGAAACAACGAAACATACGATTCTGTAAAGAGTTTAGAACTTATTCAAGCTAAGTATCTCATTATTATGTTGATTTTTATTAATTATAAAAAAAATACAATTGGGGGGCATAAAAATCAAAACCCCGAATACAAAATATAAAAGGATAAATCTTGGATTAAGATCATGCTTCCTTCCGCTTTTCCCTTTCCCAAATTGAAATTAGCAAAATATAAACTTTATTTCAATATATGGGACTTAAAAGACAAAGAAAACTACAATTAGTTTTTAGAAATAGTAAATTATACCCAAATTGCTGTCATAGTAAGTAAAGTAAAACTCAAAAGTTACAGATCTAACGACTAAATGCTAAGGGTCTATCTGTTAGCAGCTTAATAAGTTTAATGAAACTAACAACTTATTCGCTCAACTATGCATGACTGTTTCGTAGTGGCTTAATGATATAGAAAGTGACTTATTCAGTAAACTTCTAAGGGAAGCTTTATATAGAAAGCCAATTTTTTCCCCGAAACATGTCTCTTTCAACTAAAAAAATCCTCCTTAAATCTGTGAAAAAGTTCTCCCAAACAAAAACGTTTCCAACTTATACAAACAGATTAATTCATACAGACAACTTTATACAAACAAAAACTTTTCCAACTTTCCAAGTTTTTCCTATGATGTACATTCAATATTCATCACTACTAGGTCTTGGGTCTATTTTTATAGTTAAAGCTCAATTGTTCAATTCTCAAATTATTAAACTCAAAACTAGTAATAAATGACAACTTGATGCCCCTTTAAGCTTTGATGCCCTGTGCGACCGCACGAGCTTCATATGGCCAGGACCGGCCCTGCCAATCATATGCATCCCGTAAAGTAATGTGACTTGGTAAACGTTTGATAAAAAACCCTTTAATTAACAAGATGAATGTTCAAATATGAACCATAAAATATTTTAAGAACTCAGGATCAATATCGACTATCCACCTCGTTTGAATCTAATGTCTCTTATTAAATAGTTTTGTTCATTTAAGAAGGTCACATGTGTCATTTTCAAATTTAAGGGGCCGTTTACCAAATGTTTATCGAATAAGTGCTTACTGGAAGAGTCATAACTCTCACTTACCATATGAGGTAATATTCTTTGCCATCAAAATAGATTGATGGTGGACATTTATATCGGATAAATGCTTACCGGTACGAGTCATTATTCTCACTTACTGAGTAGGACTCTCGATCCTTGTCTTCCCTCTTATCGGATAAGATTCTCGATCCAGTAAGGTAATTGAACCGGTAAACGTTTACCAATGTATGTTAAGTGTTTAGTAAATGACCCCTTAAATTTTTTATATATTTAATTGTGGCACCTCAAAATGGAGTAAATAAATGATTATAAAAATAAAATAAAAAAATAAAAAGAATTTTATTTTATTGGATAAAAAATTATAAGTATTTGAAAATCGGAATAAAAATGAAAGAAAATGTCAGATCATAAGTGAAAAGTGTAATATTGTTCAAAGTATTGAAGGAGCTGAAAGGTATCATCGTAGTTCAGAGACATGGGCCATTTACCAAACACTTACCCAGTAAGCACTTACAGGTAAACTTCAACACTAGCATTTACTAACCGGGCATAGTGTGCAACAATTTACCGGTAAGCGTTAATTGTGATAAGAGTCGTCGCCCTCATTTACCGGGTAAGACTCTCAGTCTTTGCCTTAATCTTACCGGGTAAGATTCTTGGTTCTTGTCATATTCATCCGGTAAGGTAATGTGACTCGATAAACGCTTATCGGGTAAACATTTAATAGACGGCTCTGAAAATCTTACTTGTTAAGTTAAAGTGCTGATATTTACGGGTAAGTGCTTACCGGATAAGAGTTGGATAAAACGTTCCCTTAGTGTCTGACGTCAATACAAATGAGATGAAGACTGAATAGTATCTTATTCATAATGAATAGTTTTCAGTACCTGTAAGTTTCTTCTCAAATAGAATCGAACCAGGGTGGGAAATTTTGTGGATGAAAATCACAGATGGAGGAGGGTTTCAGTTGACACATAGCCTGATGGATTTGCAGGGTTCTGAGTGTTTGAATTATCTATCCGATGAAGACATGATTGAATTCAAGAAACGAATAAACTATCTGATGCAACAATGCAGAAACGAAAAAACAATGAATTCACAAAGAATGATATGCTAATCCTATAGAACTATAGAAGCAACTACTTGCATAGTTTCGTACCCTATCGGCCCTCCATTATAGTGATGGTCATATTGTTTATAGAGCAATCTTTCGTTTTGCTTTCATCTGAACTCGACTTCAACTCCGCTCTGTTGGTAATGAATGCGGGTCTGTTTACGGTAGGTAACGTTATGGTGTCATTGAGAAGCATGGAGATCATATCGGATGTTGTTGGACGATCCATTGCACTTTCTTGTACACAGAGAAGTGCCACATGAACGGTTCTCAGGAATTGTTGTACAATACAAGTATCTCCCAGTGTTGGATCCTTCAACAACAATGCATCCCCTTGTTGCCATAGCTCCCATGCCTAAATCATCAGAAAATTACTTATAACGCATAGGTCGAATACGTTAACAAGTGAGTTTGACTACGCTTACATATCCAATAAGATTGAATGTCCGGTCAAGATGAACAAAGCTACTGTTTCTTCTTCCGCTGACGATTTCCAGGATCAAGACACCAAAGCTGAAGATGTCGGACTTGATCGAGAAAGTCCCTTCCATTGCATACTCTGGAGACATGTAACCGCTGGACGCAGATGATCAACAATAAAAAGACCAAACCAAACAAACCCAGTTACCCGCATGAAGATAGGGTGATGATAAACCGACAATGGAAGCATATACGTAAAGTGTTAAACTTACTATGTTCCAACCACTCTGTTAGTCATTGCCTCGGTCTCGTTCTGCTTAAATATTCTCGCCATGCCAAAATCAGAAATCTTGGGGTTCATACTCTCGTCTAACAGAATGTTGTTTGCTTTTAGATCTCTATGAATAACTCGCATTCTTGAGTACTTATGCAAGTAGAGTAACCCCTGAGCAATTCCTTCGATGATGTTGAATCGTTTAGACCAATCCAACTCCGCCTTTCTGTTTTCATCTACAATTAAGAAACGAAACTAGATTATTGCGAAAACCAACATATAAAACCACCATATGCACTTAGATTGCATACCGAAAAGGAAGAAATCTAAGCTCTTGTTGGGCATGTACTCGTAGATTAACATCTTTTCGTCCTGATGAATGCAACAACCAAGAACCCGAACAAGATTTGTGTGCTGGAGTTTGGCAATGAGTACTAATTCATTCTTGAATTCCACAAGCCCTTGCCCTGATGTTCTTGAAAGCCTTTTGATTGCAATTTCTCGTCCATCGCTTAGTTTTCCCTGTTTTTGTAATGTCATGATACCTCTTTTTCATCAGATCATAAACACGAATGCGGGAAGTGAACAATTTTATCAAACAAGGTTAGACGTCGAAGAAAGATCACCTTGTAAACAGGTCCAAAACCACCTTGACCGAGTTTATTTTCATCTGAAAAATCATCGGTGGCTGCCATGATAGAGGCGAAGCTAAACAATAACAAATCGCTTCCTTTCCCACCATTGTTTTCGAGTTGATGTACATCCTTAAAGCTTTCAGAAGCTGTCAGCTCAAGGAAATATTCATCTCTCTTCCGCCTCTCGTATTCTACAATTAGCATCAATGGCGCAATAAAGAACCAACTACAACATACAAACATAAGCTCAATCTAATGTCGATTCTAGATCTATACCTTCTCGTCGATGCTTTCTCTTCTTTATACACCATAAAATCCCCAAACAAAGAAAAAGTATAGGAATCGCAACACCAATAAGAACCCATATCCAGTTCATGTTCTTTTTTGTTTTGTTTCCTGCATTTTGAATTGTTTAGATTCAAAGAGGTTAAGATGATAGCAATAAACATTGGAAATTAACGTTATTACCTGTACTTGGATTGATTGGATTTTGGTTGATTACATACTTCGATGTAGAATTGTCGCGTGGATTAACCGAAAAACTGTTGCTTCCGGTCCAAATGGTACAACCGGTTCCATTAACGGTACTGCTATTAAACCCAACACAACTGCAACTATTCCAGCACTTCACAAAACAATCACTAATGCTTATGCTTGAGTTGTCATCAATAACACTTCTCGCCATGTTTGGATCAAACTCGCCATTCTTTACACTGAAATTATCAGTCTCTCTCCTGCACGACGGCAAACTCGACTCCACACAACCATTATCTGAATCGTACCCGTAACAGAACTCAGGGGTCCAAGCAGTAGAATTATCACTATCTGTAATTTGCCCTTTTGGTGTCAATATCCACATGGGTAAAACAGCATTACTACCCTCATAGCTGAAGTATCGTTCTTCATTGTTGTATACAGAAGTGAGATTATAATGGGATTGGCTACCGCGACCATTCAATGCATATATATATTGAAATGTTTGATCATTCAGATTCCCACTAGTCCAATAAGGTTGCCCTCGTCGTCGAATCATTAATCTCTGAGATGCTTCTTCGATAGGTTCCCAGCTCAAAGTAAAAGCTCCTGGATCAAGGATTTCATTGCTCAGCCAAGAAGTTAGGGACCAGTTCTGCCCTGTTGTCATGCTAGACCCAAGCTTCATACCCGGTAAAAGTACGTTGGTCGGGTGCTCAAAACTCTGCCACAAAACTCTCTGGTCAATTTGGTTGATCAGCCGGAAATTACCAGTGTCTTCGAGGGTTGCAGTCAAGTTTGGGTTTGGACCAGCTTGAACATCAGTTATGCTCATGAGAGTTCTTCCTCCGGCAGTAATGATCAAGTTTCCGGTGTTGGGGTCGATGGACAGGGCATGAGCGCCTGAGGCGGATGTGATTGGTGCATTAGGATTGGCTACCCATACTTTTCTGGATTGAACGTCGTCGGTGTACCAAATTCCTAAGTAACTGAAATCTTCATCAAAGAACCCTAATGTGAAATTCCCACGGATGGAAACAAGCTGGTCAGTGGAGTTGAGTTGACCACCGAGTTTGATTGTCGAAAATGCATCGGCGGAGGGACAGAATCTAACAGTGTAATCAGCATGCCTACACAAAAATGTACTAGTTTGATCATCGAATGGGGTGCTATAGGATCTCGGGCATGCTGATTTAAACAATTGAGCATATGCCGTTGGCTTGCACGTTGACGGTGTTCCGAACTGGCTATTACAACAATACTCAGGCGAGTCGAAGGCCTGGCAAGCACTCATACACCCTCCTCCATCCGCCAACCTCAGTTCCCCGGGGCACCGTCGATTCAAGTCGTCAACGCAACCTGTCTTCGCACAACTACGCAACCCGGAACCTGATCCACCAGTTGCCTCCACAATCATCTGTAAGTTGTAGCCATCGACAAGGCTGACATCATAAAACCCCTGGTCTTGAAATTGACTGATACTGAACTCTGCTATTGTTACGGGTCCTTTGTACGATCTTCCATTGCACTCCACTTCACCGGTGCCACAGTCACCGGTGGCACACGACCCGTTACTGGACCCATTGAAGGTGCAACCAGTCCTACCCCACACACGACCTGACCAGGTCTCTGGAGTTTGAAAGGAGTGCGAATTACCCCCTGTGAGCTCGAATCCGGTGGTATTGAAAGCTGGGTTGCCTGAGATTCCGGGCCAAACAGTGAATCCACAATCGTTCACAACAGTAATGGTCGCCGATGAAGCTCCTGCAATTTGGAGGAAATTTCATTGAGAACAAAATCATAGAGGATATATGGGTGTGGTTATGATAGAGAGGTGTTGATTTACCATTTGGAAAGAAGAAGATGAAGAAGAAAAGAAAGGTCGTAATTTGAGGAACCACTGCTACATGAAATTGTGAAGAAGAAGAAGATGATGATAAAGAACCCATTTTTGGATCATTAAGAGGCAAGAAAACTTTGTGTTGATCTGATCAGTCAATCCACTCTTACAGAAGAAATTATTTCTGCTCTGTTGTTCCATTTGAATAGATGATGGTGATGGTAGCCAATTCGTCCACGGTGTTGACTTGTCAATCACACTCAATCAATGAAATCCGGTGGTATTGATAAATTAAAAAAAACACAAGTTATTTGCTTATTGATAAACACTTTTAAGTGTTTTTATAAAGAGTTTAAGTTTATATGAGTGTTAAATCGGTAATAACAGGTTAAATTATTCTAATTTATAATAAATTGATAAGTATTTTTATAAAAAAACATAGCTGGTTTCAAATAAGCAATCTCAAACCCCCTCTTAAGCTATATTTTGTAAGTTAAATTAACCGATGAAAAAAATCATATTTGAAAACTAGTTTGATTAGAATATAAAATGATTAAAAAATATCTTAAAAATTAATTAATTATAATATTTTAAAATATAATTGAAACAGATCTTTAATAATATAATATATTAAATAATACAAATAAGATGATAAAAAAATTAAAAA